GAAACTGCTCTACCTGCTGTAAATCAGGATGCAGGTGTACACTTATTAAGCAGATCTATGGAGGGACACTGAATCAGCTGAGGTCATGGCAACTCTGTAGAGGCCTACTGTGCTTGTTCTGCTGTTGGTCAGGGACCAGGTGTACATTGGTGCAACAGGGCCTGGCATCTCAGTGGAGGGTTGCCAGTGGGAGGCAAAGTTGCTACAGTGGTGGCTGTCTGTTGGCTTGGGCACCTGTGGGCCTGGTAGGCCTGCAGATGTGCAGGTCAGGTCATAAAAATGTGGTGGACATATGCTTATTTGCACTTTTCCTCCTACCGAAGTCTGCCTGTTCTCCTTTGGTGAGGAGTGCCAGATGGGTTCAGGCATTGTGGTCTCAGCCTTCTGTTAGGCCTAGGCTACAGGCAGCTGAGGTCCTGGTTCTGCTGGCATCCATGTGAATGTGGTAGAATGAAGGTAGGGACTCAGGATGGAGGGAGTCACTTTTCACCAGCCCGTAAGGCAGGATGCACTCTAGCAGCAGGTTTAGTTTCAAGATGTTGTTATGACATAGCTGCTGAAGTCAGGAAATGGGATTGCTCTTTCTTGGTTTCTACTATGAGGCCATGAAGTTGCATTAACTCCCAGCTACTTTCCAAACAGGGTATCAGGCCTGAGGGGACCGGAGGACTCTCCTATGGCAGGGATTGCTGGTATTCATGGCAGCAGTGTAAACTGCTGGGCATTTCCAGATTACCTTCTCCCCACCTTTTAGCCTATTCCTGTAGAGAGACAGTGAGGCAGAGGTAGGATGCCCTGCTCTGCCCTCTATGGTGCTGAGTGAGAGGGAAAAACACACACAGTTTTTTATTTGCTCTCCTGGCACAATGAGCACAGCAGACCAACTTCTGGTTTTCCCCAGCGGGGGGGGGTCCCCAAGAGCAAGCAATCAAGCACTTTTTCAGCAGACACCCATTGGGTGTCCTCTAGTTCAATTCTGATACTATCTACTTGAGGATAGCAGGAGATCCCACAGAGTGAGGGCTCAGTCCTCAAGACTGCCCCCCACTTCAGGTGCCAGTCACAAATTCAGACATCTGGAAAATCTGACCAGCTGGCTATAAATCAGGTTTCCAACTAACACCCTACCCAACTGACACCATAAAATACGTCTACAGGAAAGAATCTCTCCCATTGAAAGCTACTTCAGAGTGTTAGAAGTGAGTGTTCCACGAGATGCTTAGATATCAACATAGGGATATAAGAAACAAACAAACAAAAAAAAAAAACGAGGAAACATGACACCCCCAAAGGAGTACAATAAATCTTCAGGACCAGACCCAAAAGAAAAGGAAATCTATGTAATGGTTGTAAAGGAACTCTACATAATAATCTTATGAAAACTCAATGAGATGCAAGAAAGTACAGACAGACAACACAACAAAGTGAGACAAGCAATTACAGATCTGAAGGAGAAATTTAAGAGAGAGAGATACCATAAAAATGAATGAAGCAAAAATCTTGGAAATGAAGAATTTATTAAATGAAACAATAACTACAAGCAAGAGCTTAAGCAACAGGCTACATAAGGCAGAAGAAAGAGTTTCTAAACTTGAAGGTGTGGTTTTGAATTGGCCCAGTTTGACAGAGGAGAATGTGAAGGAGAAGAGGAAGAAAAGCCTGTGAGATCTATGGGACAACTTTAAGTGTACAAACATCCATATTATGGATATTCTAGAAGGGAAAGAGAAGAGAAAAGGCACGGAAAATGTTTTAAACAAAATAATAGCTGGAAAATTCCGAAGTGTTGAGAGACATGTAGACTTCCAGATCCAAGAGGCTCCAAGATCCTAAACAGATTTAGCCCAAAAAGGTTCTGTCTGTACACATTGCAGGCAAATTGTCAAAAGTCCAAAACAAAGAGAGAATTCTAAAAATAGCAAGAGAAAAGCATCAAGTAATGTATAAGGGAATCTTCATAAGAGTAGCAGCAGATTTCTCAGCAGGAACCTTACATGCCAGGACAAACAATAAAAAAAGAAAGAAATGAAATAAAGATTTGTAAAACAACTGTGAAAAAATTAATAAAATGTCAGGAGTAAGGAAATACCTTTTCTCAACAACCTTGAATGTAAATGGATTAAATTGACCATGTAAAAGATATAGGCTGGCTGGCTGGATTAAAAAACAAGACCCAACTGTTCAGCCTACAAGAAACTAACTTCACTGGTAAAGATATGTATAGACTAATGGTGAAGGAATGGAAAAAGATATCTCATACAAATGGAAATCAAAAATGAGCAGGAGTAGATATACTTATATAGGATAAAATAAACTTTAAGTCCACAATTATAAAGAGATAAGAAGGACATTACATATTGATGAAGGTATCAATTCAGCAAGAGGACAGTGCAATTGTAAGCATATATACATAAAACATTGGAACACTCAGATAAATAAAACAAATACTATTGGATCTAAAGGGAGAGACAGACTGCAATACAACAATAGTTAGGAACTTCAACACCCCTCTCACAACACTGGACAGATAATCTAGACAATAAAGAAATATTGGATTTAAACTGTATGATAGACTAAATGGATTTGACATTTACAGAACATTTTATCCCACAACTGCAGACTATACATTTTTCTCATCAGCATATGGATCATTCTCAAGGATAGACCACATGTTAGGCCATAAATCAAGCTTCAACAAATTTTTAAAAATTGAAATCATATCAAATATCTTTTCAGACCAAAATGGAATTAAACTAGAAATTAATAACAAACTAAACTTTGGAAAACTGTACAGATACACAGAAACAAAACAACATTCTCCAGAATGACCAAAGGAACAGAGAAGAAACTAAGTAGGGAACCTAAAAATGCCTTGAAACAAATTGATACAGTAGCACATTATATGAAAATCTGTAGGATACAACAAAAGCAATACTAAGAGGGAAGTTTATTGCAATAAGTATGTACATTAAAATAAGAAAAATTTTCCAAATAAACCACCCAACGTTGCACCTAAATGAGTTAGAAAAGTAAGAAAAAACCTAATTCAAAAATTACACTTATTATTATCAGTGACCCTGTCGTCGTCATCATCACCCGAAGTTCATAGTTTATATTAGGGTTCACTCTTGGTGTTGTATATTCTATCGGTTTTGACAAATGTATAGTGATGTGTATCTACCATTACAGTGTCACTACAGAATAGTTTCACTGCCCTAAATATCCTCTGTGCTCCACCTATTCATCCCTCTCTTCTCCCAGCCCCTGGTAACCCCTGGTGTTTTTACTGCCTCCATAGTTTTTCTTTTCCAAAATCTCCTATGGTTGGAATCATACAGTATGTAGCCTTTTCAGATTGGCTTCTTTCACTTAGTACTAGGCATTTAAGGCCTTCTGTGTCCTTTTGTGACTTGACAGGTCATTTCTTTTTAGCACTGAATTATATTCCATTATATGAATGCACCATGGTTTATTTATACATGCACCTACTGAAGGCCATCTTGGCTGTTTCCAAGTTTGGGCAAATATGAATAAAGCTGCTATAAACACCCATGTGCAGGTTTTTGTGTGTACATGCATTTTGCAGGCTGTAATTCTTAATCTTTAGTCTTAGTATCTCAAAACGGTGGCTGGTAAAACTTGGCCCAAAGACTGAAGCTGTAAATCTTATTTCTGTTATGCCTCCTCACCAAGGCAATCATCTCAAATGTCAGCAGAGTCAAAAAAAGTTTGAAAAAATCATGGCAGAAGTATCTAGTCACAGTATCCAGAGGTTTTTGTACTCAGGAATGATTAGACCAAGAGTATCCGGAAAGTGCAGACTAGATGCAATCATGAACCTCCCTTTGATTGCACAATACCTTGAAACTTGCTGTGATTGCTTTTAACCTACATAGTGTAGGTTGTGCTCATGGAAGCAGGGACAGGAAAATGGCCTGCACAAGCCCTTTTAAAAAGGGCAGGACAACCAGAACACATGGTGGTGCCCCAATAGCTTTAATGTAGATCCAGGTGAAAAGTGAGCACTGAAAACAGGCTAGGATAGATGAGTTGGATCAAAGCTCACAGACACCTGGAGAAGAAAATCCAAAGTGTATTTAATGAAATGTAGACATTCTTTTAAGAAACTCTCTCCTTCAATGTTCATCATTAAAGGTTAAATATTTTTAGACTGCTCAAGGACTTTGTGAAATCATTTATTTTCTAGTTATCCACGTTATTCTTATTTGCTACCACACTGTGCCCAAGCTCTAACCCCATCAAAATTGTGCAGAAGATGCTGCCTTTACACCTGCCACCCTGCGGCCCCTCCTCAGTACCTGCTGAGGAACCTACCTGGGAAGAGAGCGGAAGCTGATGGCCTCTGGTTTCCTGTGCTGTGGATGCTGCTTCTGCTTTCCTGTTTGTTTTGTTTTCCTTTGCTGGTGATTCTGAAATCAGTTTTTACAATGTTTATGGATATTCCCTGATTTGAGAAAATCTGATATCTTTAAATATTAAAACTACAAAAACAAAACAATTAGGAACCAGTTATTTACCTAACAAAAGGGTTGTTGTTGGAATTTTCCCTGAAGAACTCCTTAAAAATATCAAACTCTGCTAATACATTATCATATATAATTGAATTTGCAAAAATTAGATTCACATACAGCTTAACAGGGACACCCACAGTACACTTTCAGCAGATGTCCCAAAACTGCCAGTGTGAGTCTACCAAGATTTCTATAGGGAGGGTCCAGCCCAGGGCCTTTTCAGTAGGGGAGGTTCAATAAGATAAGCAACCATTCCCTTCAGTAACAACTGTATGTGTTATTAATATATAAATTTAAAAAGGAAGAAAACAGCAAGTCAAGGCTTTTCAATAAGTATAACCATTATGAAAACAGAATCACATGAAGGTGCTTTTCAAGTAGTGTGTGTGGTCACACCAACTCCATTCCCATGGGTGGTGTGGCTGAGTCACAGCATGAACTAGCCCTGCCATCTGTCTGTCCTCACAGGGAGTTTCCAGGCTGACAAAGCACCTCAAAACTTTAGCTTTAGTCCTCAGATAGGATTTGACTGGCTTGAAGTCTGGTAAAGGAAGATATTAACAGACATTGAAAGAGGGAGACATTGATGTCCAACTCAAATGTAGAAGTCCCATCATTATTTCATGATGATAATTAACTTCAAGCTAATCGACCACTGTGAAGCTAAACAGAGATGATGTTTAAATTTAACATTAACTATTGCCAAGGTAATATTCTTTTTTTGCCCCAGTGACAAGAGATGAGTGAAATCAAAGCATTAGCATAATAGGATATTTTATGGGCTGGCCAGTTAGCTCAGTTGGTTAGAGCACAGCCTTATAACACCAGGGTCCTGGCCAGCCACCAGAAAAGAAAAAAGAGTAGGATTTTAGAGCTAAGGAACAAACTTTTCTATCCAAGTTGGAAGAGCTGTTCTCTGTAGAGATTGTCCATTGTTGGGCATCTCCAGTGGCCGCATGGGACCCCAACAGGTTTTTCCTTTCCCTAGAGGGTTGGGGCCAAAGGGATGGCCCTTTTCTTCCCCCCAGGATGCAGGACAAAAAGAGATTCCAAGAGATATGTGAGCACCCCGCTGGTCTCCCAGATACGGAACAAACACATACACACGCAAAGGGGGTTCTGTCAGGCAGTTCCGTTTATTGTAACACAAAAGATCGTATTTATATGCTTAGCAGGTGGGGATTTCCAAGCCTAGGCCAATCCTTGAAAAGGTCAAATGTGCACGTGCCTTGTCTCTCTATGCTTAGCCCTCCCCCTTAACTTCCCTTGGGTGCCACCTTTTATCCTTTTAGGCCATCTGTTGTTTTTGCTTAGAAAAAGTGCGTGGTCCCATAGTCCACGTTCTACAAGTTGGCTTAGAAAAGATCATAAATCTAGACAGTGCCAGAACCAGATCTCAAAATTTGCAGATTAGTGTTTTTTCTTATCCTTCCATACCCATTTCATGTTGCCCAGGACAGACATTTATTTCCACAGAGAAATCAACTATTGTTGGGAGTCATATTATTTCATTGTAGCCACATGCTGGTGGCTTTGCTGGCTTTGCTGGCAGCTTCACACAAGCTGCTTTTCAGCAATTGGAGTGTCTACAGTGACAATATGTAACTAAACCAAGCTTTCTGGACCTGCATGCAGAGACAGAGCCCACTCTATTTCCGTTCTGTGTTAAGATTGGGCTGGTGGCTTGTTTTGTGTCTTACATATTAACTGCAGCATTATGAACACTGTTTTACACCTCAGTTTCAAGATTTGTATGAAAGCAGGGGGAGGAATATAAACTGTGATAAATAAAAGCAAGTGTAGGCATTTAGAGCTAAAAAAAGAAGAGTAGTTCAAGAAATACTGTTTTGAATAAACTGATAGTGGTTTTGTTAGAGGTTGGAATTTAGATGAATATTTTCCCTGCTTCTCTCTCTCACTCGCTTGCTGTCTCGTTCTCTTTTTTCTTTTTTCATTTCAATTTTCCAGCGTTCTTTTATGTATTTCATGTAAAAACTACAGAGACTTGTTTTAAAGATAAAGTCCCTTAGAGACATTTAATGTGAGGGTGATTCACACACAAGAAGTTGAGGAAATAAATTCACACTCAGTAGAGAATTCCAAATATTAGACTTTGTGTCTTTTTTTCTTTCTTATTTTTATTCCTTATTCATTAGCAGAAGAGCTGAGAAGCGGTGTCGAGATCACTGATAACATTTCTATTGCTTTTCCCTCCCTGGAAGGAAAGTGCTCTGTGGTCGTCATCTGTTTATATCTAAGAACCCATCCTGGTTTGACTCCTTCCCTGTTTCTCTCCCCTGTTCTTTACTTCCTGTCTTTCTCCTCTTAATGGTTTGTCTGACTGATGTGCTTTTAGATATTGCCTTTGATCAGTCCCACAGCATGGTAAAAGAAATAATGGACATTACTGTGAAATGAACAAGAAAGTTGTCACATAAGACATAATAAATGCTAACAAATGAGGAGAGAGTGTAAGTCCCCTTGAAGTTGTTTTTGGGGTTTTTGTTTTTTGTTTTTTATTTTATTTCTTTGCAGCTTGTTGGTATGGGGATTAGAGCCCTTGACCTTGATGTTGTCCCTTGAAGTTTGCATTCTGAGTTCCACCAAATCTTGCTAGATGGCTGTAGGGTGGAACTGGTGACTATACAGGGGTGGGCAGTGATGCTAAATGAGATGTTGGAGATACAATCTGGACATCTGTCTCCACTGAGTGATTAGATGTTGGTCCTGCTGGCTGTAGAAGCGGATACTGACAAAAGCAGATTCAGATAAAGACCTTAAGGGCCATTTTAGTCCACTGAGGTCTAGGTGCCCTCACAGCACAGAATCCCATTCTAGAAAGAGCCAATTAGACAGGCTTTGTTCTTGGACCCAACGGCGTGTTTAACTCATGGTGAGAGTCATGGAGGACTTCTGCACCCCACCATGCCTGATGTAATCACTGTCCAGTGTAGTCCAGCCTGAGCACATCCACATTGTAGGTGGAAACTCCACTGCCCAAATGGCCACCATTGTCCTGCATGTCCAGGGACCAAGCCTTCTGGGGCACCAGAACCTTCCAAATGAAGAAGGGCCTGGAGATTGAAGTGACCAGTGGGGAGTGGCATAAGTAGGTGAGGAGAGATGTTTAGGGGGAAGCCCCTATGTATGTAACCCAAGATGGTCCTTTTCAGGGTAGAGGGTTTGGCTCTGAGTCATGGGCACTTGGTTGCAGGGAAGCGAGAGAGAGTAGATTCTGAAGGGTAGGGCCACCAATCATCCCAGGAGGCGGTCCTGCCCAGGGGAACCCTCCAACCCCATCCAAGATCTTGTTAGACAAGGATATCATGAACTTCTCAGAACACAGACAGTTTGTGCAAAAAAAAAAAAAAAAAAAGAGAGAGAGAGAGAGAGAGACACTAGGTGGGAGGTAGGAAAGCTTGGCAATCTGGGTTTACAAGACTTCTGCTTGAGAGAGCAGTGCCACCTCCAGGAGAGAGGTACAAGAAAACTGTGTCTGAGTTCAGGATATGACCTGCCTAGCCTGAGGTGCCTGGCAGATATCTGAGTGGAGGGGAATAGTTATAGTCTATCTAAGTATTAGTAATGACACAGACACCACCCTGACTACTCTATGGGCTAATTTGTATCCCCCCCAAATTATGTTGCAATCCTAACCCCAGGAATTTCAAAGGGTGGCTGCATTTGAGATGGGTTAGGTTAAAATGAGGCTGTTGTGACTGTTGTCCTTACAACAAGAGAGCATTAGGACATATGTAGACACACCAGGGGTAACTGTGCACATATGAAGAGGAACTGACCATATGAAGAGGAAGAGAGAAGGCAAACATCTGCCAGCCAAAGAGAGAGCCTTATAGAAAACCAATCCTGCAGCACCTTGATCTTCAACATCCAGCCTCCAGAACTGGGAGAAAATGCATTTCTGGTGTTTAAGTGGCCCAGTTTGTGTTGTTTTGTATGGCAGCCCAAGCAAACCCATACAAGCAGCCAATCTGAAATCTAGAGTAATGTGATGGGCTGTCTCTATTCATACCAACAGGAGACTTGTTATACTCCATTTGGTGAGGAGGTGCTATCATTCATAGCTTCTGTTGAAGTTAGTGATAAGTCTCTATTATGAGTTAAGTTGTGTTCTCTGTTCCCTTAAATTTATAGTTTAAAGTCCTAATCCACACTACCATAGAATGTGATGTTATTTTGCAATACTGCCATTGCAGTTGTAATTAGTTAATCCAGTACGACTGATGTCCTTATAAATTGGGGGAATTTGTGCACAGACCACACAGGGAGAACATTATGGAAAGATGAAGGCAAACATCAGGGTGATGATTCTACAAGCCAAGGGATGTCACAGGTTGCCTGTACACTGCCAGAAGCTAGAGGAGAGACATGAACCAGATTCTGTAGGATCAGAGTGATTGAGGTGACCTCCTTTTGGAACTCCCATCTGAATCTTAATTACCAGCCTTGCTGATTTATAGAATTAAAACTGCCATGTACAGACAAGACTCAGAATATGAATCCAAAAGTACATGTGGTTTCAATCTGAAACACACTGTATCAGGTGCCCTTGCTGCAAAGGAGGTTGTATCTAGTAAGAATATAGGGAGACCCAGGAGAAAAGGCGGTGTTCACAACATGAAACAGAAATGAAGGTCTCACATTAGTTGGGTTACTATGAATCCGGTAAGTATTAGTCTCTTACGGGTGGCAAATACATGGCTCATTGCCCTACAATGGCTGTAGGATTAAAATTTAGAATTTAGTAGAGTCATATCAAAACTTGTAATAATAACTGGTTCTTTATCTGGGAGAGAGGGACAAACAGTTTTTCCAACTGTGTAGTACAATGCATTGAAGACTGACAAGTTAGTTTATTAGATAAGAACAAACTTTTTTTTTTTTTTTTTAAAGATGACCGGTAAGGGGATCTTAACCCTTGACTTGGTGTTGTCAGCACCACGCTCACCAAGTGAGCAACTGGCCATCACTATATGGGATCCCAACCCGTGGCCTTGGTGTTATCAGCACCACACTCTCCCGAGTGAGCCACAGGCCGGCCCAGAACAAACTTTTTTAATGGCTTAGAAGAGAGCTACCATATTAATTTCTCATTTGTTTAACCATTTAAAGGAAAATAGATGCATGATTTTTTCATCCTCTCAAATGCATCTGCAAAAATAAACATGGGTTCTAGAATAGCAATACCTATATGACAACTAATAAAAGTGAAATTACTTATTAATATCATGCGGTAATCGGCCCACATTCAAATTTCCCCGTTATTCTCACAATGCCCCAGGTTGTCAAACCAGGATTTAATAAAGAAACAGAATTCCACCTCGTAATAACGTGGAAAGAAACCTGTCTTGATCCATCAGGTCTTGTTCTCCTGGTAGCAAGAATCCCTGCTGAGAAAATAAACAAAATTTTCTCTTTCAATCCCTAAAGAATGACCGCAGAGACTTCTGGGAAATGTAGTCTCGCCCTCCAGTGACGTCACCAGCCCAGGCGCACTAAACAGCTGCTCCAAGTTCCTTATGTACTTGTGGGATTCAGCTCTGCAGTGACCACACCAGCTTTTCTGGGTTTCTTCTGCGCATGTGCGGCTTCTCCGCCATCTTTTATCAGGAGTTCCCGGATGCTGCGGACGCTTCAGCACTGCTCGATTCAGCTCTGCAGTGACCACACCAGCTTTTCTGGGTTTCTTCTGCGCATGTGCGGCTTCTCCGCCATCTTTTATCAGGAGTTCCCGGATGCTGCGGACGCTTCAGCACTGCTCCTCAGATCCTGGGGTCGGATTATGCGTCCGTGAAGGTGGGTGGAGGGTGAAAGAGGAGCCCCCGGGCCTCGGGGTGCCGGGACGGTGTCCCCGCACTTGGGGGGCAGAAGCGCCGCGGGCCTCGGGCGGGCGGGGCCTGACGTGCGGCGCGAGCGCGGACCCGGGCCGGGCCGGGGAAGGGGCGCCCGGGCTGCGCTTTCCAGACGGTTCCGTCAGAGGACGGCGCTGCCAGGTGTGCAGAAGCTGGTTCCAGATGTCCCAGGACGGGGGCTCAGGTCCAAGGTGGCGACGGGAACGTGGGTGGGGGTGTGTGAAGACAGCGAGCCTGGGAGGTGTGAGGAGGTCCCGTTCCAGCTCCGCCATCAGGAACCTGGTACCGAACCATGGGACGTTCACTTCACCATCTGTAGCGTGAGCGTGTGGACATTAGTGTGATGCCCCAGATCCCACAGGTGAATCTGAGACTGTGAGCTGTGTGCAGACTGTTCCTCTGTGGCTGCTGTGGTCGTGGGTGTCTCGGTGTCTCTCCTTGACGTCAGGTTTCTGGTCCCTCCTGCCCTGTGCGGCCGGCCTGGCGCTCCTGGTTTGAGTTTACAGAAGATGATACACAACCTTGTTTCCAGGACAGTGACTTCTAGGAAGGAGATTGGGGCACTGGATGTCGGTCCCATTTTCTTTGGAGTGAAGGAGGTGTGACAAACTTTGAAAGACGGTGTCCTGTGAATAGAAAGCCCACCTGGGGGAGCATCACTGTGGCCGGAACCCTCTCAGTACTGCTTCAGGGCAGAGGCAAGAGAGTCCCAGAAAGTTGAAGATCCCAGCTTTGCACAGTCTAAACAATGATTGTGTCTAGTGCTTAGAGCGCACCAGGGTTGGCAGCTAATACCTCATTCAATGGGTATCTGAGACTGGATGGTATCAGAAGGTTTGGGTTAACTTTCAGAAGGGAGAGGTGAATTAGACTGAGATGAGAGTCAAGGACCCAGGAGGTGTTACTTATTGAAGAGGGTTTGAGGGTGTTCTGTGGAGTGCAGGAATAACCTGTCACCGCTGAGAGGATCTGTCTGCAGTGCTCTCTGAACACGCTCCCATTCCATCAATCTTCCCTCACTGTTCCCAGTGTCTGAGCTCTCAAAACCCAGCCTATGACCAAATTTGGCATCTAGAGATGTGCTGATGGTTCTCTATCTTCATAGTTCTTTTCTGGTCATTCATGAGTGGTTTTCCCCATATTTCTGCCTTGTAAGAGAAGTAAAAATAAATGGATATGAGGAAATGTGACTTGCCCAGGGTCACATCATTTGTTGATGTTAGACATCCTGTTTGGCTAGCGTTTTCCATTTTGACACATTTAAGTCAAAACAAGTGTTTGTTCACTTTTGAGATTATTTTTATAATGCTGAAGTCAACTGAGAGCAAACGTTGCTTTAACATTGCCTTAAACATCCCTATCCTTTTTTTAATTTATTTTTTTTATTGGTTTTGTATATTCATGAAGTAAGAAGCGGATTGTCACCCCTCATGCCCATGATGTGGGGGCTAGATTCATACTGGCTATATGCCCATTACCACAAATTGCATTTGTACCCCATGTCCCCCACCCAATTATCCCCAACCTCCCTCCCCCTCTCCCCTTCACCTCCACTCTACTTTGTAGCCCATAGAACGTTCACTCCCTCTGCAAGTCCAATGCACTAATGTGGTCTTTCTTCCCTTCCTTCTTTCTCTCTTAGCTCCCACATATGAGTGAGCACATGTGGTATTTATCCCTCTGTGCTTTGTTTATTTCATGCAACATAAGTTTCTCTAGGCTCATCCATGTTGTTGCGAATGCAAGTGTTTCATTTCATTCTTTTTTATGGCAAAGTAGTATTCCATGGTGTATATATACCACAGTTTCCTTAGCCAATCATCCATCAGTGGACATTTAGGTTGGTTCCATATCTTGGCTATTGTTAACAGAGCTGTGATGAACATGGGAGTGCAGGTATCCCTTCAACATGATGATTTCCATTCTTCTGGGTATATACCCAGAAGTGGGATTGCTGGATCGTATGGAAGATCTATCTGTAGTTGTTTGAGAAAACTCCATACTGTTTTCCATAGTGGTTGTACTAATTTACAGTCCCACCAACAGTGTAGGAGTGTTCACTTCTCCCCACACCCTTGCCAGCATTTGTTATTCACTGTCTTTTTGGTTATAGCTAGTCTAACTGGGGTGAGGTGGTATCTCATTGTAGTTTTAATTTACATTTCCCTGATGACTAGTGATGTTGAGCATTTTTTCATGTACCTGTGGGCCATTTGTATGTATGTCTTCCTTTGACAATTGTCTATTCAGCTCTTTTGCCCATTTTTTAACTGGGTTATTTGGTTCTTTACTATATAATTGTTTGAGTTCCTTGTATATTCTGGATATTAATCCCTTGTCAGGTGCATAGTTAGAAAAAATTTTCTCTTACTCTGTAGGTTGTTGTTTTCCTCTGTTGATTGTTTCCTGTGAAGAAGCTTTTCAGTTTGATATAATCCCATTTGTTTTGGGTTTTTTGTTTTGTTTTGTTTTGTTTTTGCTGCTGTGCTTTCAGGCTCCTGATCATAAAGTCTGTGGCCAGACCTAGTAGCTGGAGTGTTTCACTTATATTTTCCCTTAGTAATTTTACAGTTTGGGGACTTAAACTTAAGTCTTTAATCCATTTTGAGTTCATTTTAGTGTATGGCAAAAGATGCATATCTAGTTTCATTCTTCTGTATGTGGATATCCAGTTTTCCCAGCACCACTTGTTGAAGAGGCAGTCTTTTCTCCAATGTAGATTTTTTGTTGCCTTTGTCCAATATCAGATGGCTATAAGCCTGAGGGGTGCTTTCTGCATTCTCAGTCCTACTCCACTGGTCTGAATGTCTATTTTTATATGAGTACCATGCTGTTTGGGTTACAATAGCTTTGTGGTGTAATTTATGCCTCTGCCTTTATTTTTCTTGCTCAGGATTGCTTTAGCTATTCAGTGTCTTTTTTGTTGTTCCATATGAAGGTAAGATTATTTTTTAAATTTCTGTGAAGAATGTCATTGATATTTAAATAGGAATTGCATTGAATCTGTAGATCGTTTTGGGTATTGTAGGCATTTTCACAATGTTAATTCTTCCAATCCAGGAGCATGGAATATCTTTCCACCTTTTTCTGTCTTTTAAAATTTCTCTCAGAAGTGCCTTGTAGTTCTTATTGTAGAGGTCTTTCACCTCCTTAGTTAAATTGTTCCCTAGGTGTTTTATTTCTTGTGTGAAAATTGTAAGTGGGCTTACTTTATTTCTCTTCAGTGCTTTCTTTGGATTATGTCACCTCAAAAGGTAAATAATATAAGTATTTCTCACTTAATGTCAGTAACCTATCCTTTAAAATCATAACTTTTGCAGGAATATATTGGAGGCAATTTTACATTTAAAATGGGGAAATTAGATTGCACTTCCTTTCTATTGAAAACCAATTTCTTAAATGTAACTAAAATGCTAGTATGCTTCAAAAAGTTCATGGAAAGATTTCTGTTCTCTTTCCATTCTATTTTTCCCTGAACTTTTGAAAATACTTTGATACAATGCATTACTTACTTATAAGAAACACCATTTTTATATTGTATGTTTTTAAAGTAAACAACTTTATGTGACATAAAAGACAGTACAAAACAAAACTTACAACTTGGTTTACTGATGTGCAAATAATTGTTTTTTATGATTGATATAGCCTCTATTAGGGCTAGAAACTGCACTGAAGTACATGTAGTTAATGTTGTGATTTTCAAAACTTCTACCTGTGGTTGTAAAGTTGTACTGATGGTATTTGACTTGTAATTTAAGACTTTCTCACCCACATAATTTTGTTAAGTATGTTTTGTGGTTTGGGGACTTAGATGTATTATTCAGCATTTGCTGTGTAAGAAACAAATCACACTCCAATGTCTTGAAAAACCCAGCCATCTTATTTTTTGGAAGTTCTATGGATCCACATCTTGGGGTACATTTGGCTGGGCAGTTCTCATTCTAGTGCTCCCTTGATTACAAATGTGGATTTAGTCACCTGGTATCTTGACTGAGGTTGTTTGGTTAAAGATGGCTTCGCTCACATGTCCTGTGGTTTGTGCTGACCCCAGGCTGGGCCTTGTGTCTCCCCAGGCTTCTTAACAGAATGACTGTATTTAAGAGGCAAGCACCAATAGCCAGTACCTTTCAAACCTATGTTTGTATGACATTTTCTAATGTGCCACTATCCAGACCAGGTCATGTGACAAAGACTAGTTTATTGTCATGCTATATGGAGGCTTGGGTACAAGGGAGATCAGTGTACCAGAAGAAATGTAGATTATGTGTATTTTTTTACCTATATAATCTTGGGCAAAATGTGCTGGGTTGCAAGATGCACACTATCCAGATATTTAGAAAACACTTTTTTGGAGGCATGTGTGAATTTAATATATTAATAGGGTAACAGTTAATATTGTCAAACTGTTTCCATAACACTAATTTTAGTGATGTCACAATGTGTTTTTCTTTGGTTTAAGTTATTAAGTTGTATGTTTAGATAACATTGCTAAGTCAGTAGGTTATGTATGTTTTCATTACCCAAAAATAAATTGTGTGTGTAATGTATAACTATTAATATACTTGTAGCTGCATCTTTAATGGGGTCCTTGTCCCTTGTTGAGGCATGAAGAACTGTTCTCTCACAGAAAGGCTTTTTGTTTGTCTTTTTCAGCTAATAAGTAGAGAGTGTTGGAAAGGAGAATCTAGAGCCAAGCCACAACAGTTCTCTGCTTAATCCACTCCATTCTCTTTTTTCCCCAGCTATGCTGTCAGAGTGTGCTATGGGTTTACAAGAGCAACAAAAGGTGAATAAACCTCTGGTGAGTTTTTTTGGTTATTTATTACTCGCTCTTCATTGTATTATGTGTGATTTATGGTGTGCATAAATTAAAATTGAAAAGTACAAATGAGAAAAACTCAACTTGAAAGAAACGTACATACATAAGATGAAGTTGGCATGTAGATATAGCAGTTTGTAAGACCTCAGAGTCATCTAATTTGAATAAAACTTTGTCTCTGGTCTTTGTGATGTCATGGACAACAGGCACACACCTTGTTTACATGATTGGGATGGAATCTGAGAAGAGAATCTGCCAAATTCTCTTGAGATGTGAAGACTTGGTGGCAGCAAATCCTGCAACACCGTCACTATTAGAAAGTTTTTCACTGCTGACCTGGAAATCAACATTTCTCACTTCCTGCAGTGGAAATAGTTCTAAGGCACAAGTTGCTTAGTAAGCTTTACATAAAGTTATTAAAATAAATCCAGTTCCAGATGGCTTTGGAAGACTGTACTAGATTCATAGATAAAACCTAGAATTATAACCTAAATTATAGTCAAATCCAATGATTATTCTCTAGTCTTCTTCTAACTTGAGTCTTCTGCTACACTTTGAAGTACTGTTTTTGATATTCTCCTAGAAGTTCTCTGTGTTTATTAGTTTCTTTCATGACTTCACTGATGGTTTTTGCTCTTTTCTCCTGAATTCTTCTCCTTTCTTTTTTATAACATAGCTTATCAAAGTGCTTTATCCTGGGTCTTGTTCTTCTCATGTGAAATTCTTTTTCACTAATTCAGTCCTCTGTATTTTGCACTCTTTTTTTTCTCTCAAGGTGGTACTTCTTCCCTAGTCTATTGATGTCAGGTTGAACTCTGTTGAAGCTTGTTTGTAGCTATTCAAACGGCACCTCAAGTGGCTGGCTTGTTAGCTCAGTTGTTTAGATCATGTTGTTTTAACACCAAGGTCAAGGGCTCAGATCTCTATGCCAGCCAGCTGTCAGGGAAAAAAAGTCACCTCAAAGTCAACAAATCTAAAATTCAAATGACATCGTCCTCTTATATCTGTTATTCCTACCACCCAGCCACTGACAAGCCACCAAAATGAGATTTCTCCTGGACTCCTCCCTGTTTCTTGGGTCTAATTTTCTCTTCTGTTACTTCCTGCTACTTTTGTTTGTTTAGACTTTTCAATTTATTCTGATTTCTATATACACTGCCAATACAGGAGAAGGTGCTGGTAACTCATAAAGACAGTAACTTTGTTTGTTACATTCAAAATATTATCCTTGTAAAAACCTGAAGGTAATGTTTGGTGGGTTGTTAGGTTCAATCTCTGGTGATCTATGCTTCTAGGCAGCACCTGTGGTGACATCCTTAGGAGTCCGTGTGGAGAAAGCCTTCAGAAGTTACTGGGACATGTTTGAACAATGGTCAATAAAAAGACCTGGAAATAATAAAAACAGAAAGTACAATTTTCATAATGTCTACCTTTTGCTTCTGTAAATTTACATTAGTGATTCTATTTGTAGTTTTTATTAATATACAATTATCTGTTTGCATTTCAACAAGACCCATCGTGATTTTAAACTTTCTTACAGATTGTTTTTTATTCTTCTCCTGTTTCGGGTAATTGCTTAAAAATGAATGAGAAAAATGGATGCGTGCATTAGTCATCAGTATGTTTATAAAGTAGAACTGTAGCTAACAGCTAGTTAAAAACAAAAATTGGCAAACTAATTAACTGAACATTTATATTCACAATTGTAGTTTGAGATCTAACATAAGATGTAAAATGCTTTCTTTCTTTGTTTTGAATGTAATATTCAGTGTGAACCTACATTGTTCAAGTTTCAAATCAAAGGACTATGTAAGGTCTCTAATAATTTTTTGGTTTTCCAATAATCTGCTGTGCAACAAAGTATCACAAAACTTTGTGACTTAAAATAAGAACATCTTATTACATGTCACAATGTCTTGTTTCAGTAAACTGGACAGTGTGATGTGGGTTGGCTACTACACGGTGTCTCTGCTCTGAGCCAGATACATCCTAGTGGCTGGAAACATAGAGCAGACATCCAGCCCTCTCTTTGTGGCCATGTTGGACTTCCTCACAGAGTGGCATTCTCAGGATAGTCAGGTTTGTGTGGCTTCTGCCTGAGCTAGTGTCTAAGAGGCCCAGGCAGAAGCTGCAAGGATTCTTGTTATCTCCACTTAGATACTAAAGCATCTTTTCCACCAAATTCTCTTAGTCAAGCACATCACTGAAACCAGCCCTGAATCAATGGGAAGGCAATTAGATTCCACCTCTCAATAAGAGGAATATTAAGACTTTGCAGCAGTCTTTAATAGAACACAGTTTGCTCTCTAACCATAAATTTCTACCACATGCAAAATATACAGTGCTACCCTCAAGAGCCCTAGAAATATCCTACCATTGTGCAGTTGGCAAAAAGCCAAACTAAAGAAGCTCCTGCATCCTGTCATCTTTTTAACACACATCCAGCTTACAGTGAACAGACAGGCATGACCGTGTGTGCACTTTTCTTCAGACAGGGTTGGTGGAAAGGGGCAGCACCTTGCAGTCACTGGTCTGAGTAATTACTCATTCCCTTCAGGCACCATTTTAGTATTTCATTAGGGCTCATTCTTGGTCCATGGAAAAGATGCTTTGTGCCCCTTCACTGTCTCCTCTGGGCACTCGCCATTCCCTGTCAATATCCCTTTTCCTTAAATGCCTGGGTTTACAGTTGACTGACTTGCTTTACCTATTTTTGGTTATTATATGTTGTGGGATCCAATGACCTTCTTTTTTGTTTTTTTCTGACTCTGACCTTTTGATACAGGAAATTATCAGGTTTAATCACTGCCATAAAAACACGGGTTTCCATTCTGCTGAAATCCATTAGACCAATGCTACCCCCACACATTCTGAGTCAGGCCCTTTGTTCTCTGACCTCCCCTTCTCTCCAAGGTGGCTGTTTCCTTAGAGGTTTTTATTGTTTACTAGGCACTAAGTACCCCTTAGAAAGCTAGAAATATTTTTGGTCTTTGATCTGTTTTGGAAAACACTGGACTTGATCCTTGCCACAAAATAGTTTAACAGTTTAAAATATTTTTCTGGGAGAAATGTATTGAAAAATAGTTTAATTTCAAACTCAGCAAGTCTCAGCTCCTTCATATTTTCTCTAAATTCTTTTTGAAAATTGAACATCCTTCTTTTATTTTCTCAGTGGCAGAGAGAGGAGGACAGTTAGCACTTTTCCCATTGTGCCCAAAATCTCCTTTGGCAGACACCAAGATGGTGAGACACACTTTCCATTTTCCATGCTACGGGAGGTGATAGTGTGGCCCACATCCTTCAGTGTTCCATTTATTCCTAGTAATGTAATTTGTCTTGAAGATTCTTTTGCCAGTATCAATATTTCCACTTAAGTATTTCATAATTTGTGTTGCTACAGTATATATGTTTTCCATTATTTTATATTTAGTTTGTTTCTTTGTATTTAAAGTGTAGTTCTCTGGACAACCTGTTGTTGGCCTTAATTTTCTATCAAATCTGACAGTCTTTGCCTTAAGTAGAACATTTAAAGCAATTCCATTTAAACTAATTATTGATAAGGCTTAATTTAAGTGTGCTATTTTGCAGTTTTCTATTTGTATTTGCCTCATCTGCCTTTTAATCCTCTGCTTTTTATTTTCTAGCATTTCATCAGTTAATTTTAAAAAATATTTATTTTGCTTTATCTATTGGCTTTTAAAATAATTTATTTTTAATTGTGGTAAAAAGCATGTAGCATAAAATTTACCATTTGAATCATTTCTTAACCTTTACATAGTTTTAAATATACTGACACAGTTGTGCAGGAGATACCCATAACTTTTTTTATCTCAGAAAACTGAAACTCTATATCCATTAAATGACAACTCCCAATTTCCCTCTTCTCCCAGCCTCTGGCAGCCACCATTCTACTTTGTGTTTCTAAAAATTTGACTCATCTGTGGGAACCATACAATATTTATCATTTCGTGTCTTATTTTACTTTGCATGATATCCTCAAGGTTCCGTGTTATAGCATATATCAAGATTTCCTTCTTAAGGTTGGATATTACTTCTTTCTTTGTATATACCACATTTTATCTATTCATTCATTCATGGCTGAACATTTGGGTTGCTTTCACCTCTTATCTCTGAGTAATACTGCTATGAACACAGGTGTGGAAATATCTTTTTGAGATTCTGCTATTTAGATACATACACAAAACATGGATTTCTGAATCCTATGGTAATTCTATTTTTAATTTTTTGAGAAGCCACTCTACTATTTTTTTTAATAGGCACCGCACCATTTTACATTGTCACATAATGTGAATTATTTCCAATTTTGCCAATAATTGTTATTTTCTATTGCGTGTGAAATAATATTTCATTGTGGTTTTGCACTTCTCTAATGATTAATGTTAAGCATCTTTCCGTGTTAGACATTGGCATATCAATTTTATAGAAATGTCTGTTGAATCCCTTTGCTTATTTTTTAATCAGATTATTCATTTTGTTGTTTACTTGTAGGTGTTTTTAAAATTATTTTTGATGTTAATTTCTTATGAGATAGATGATTTTCTACTTTCGCTTTCTTGAGTTGCTAATGTAAATAGTATTGTGTTTTTTGTTTTAAATTTTACTTTGTCATTGCTGGGGTGTAGAAAAGTGACTAACTTCTGTATAGTAATGTTATATCCTGCAATCTTGCTCTAATTAGTCATTACTTCCAGGAGGTTTTCTATTTACTTGTTAGGGTATTTACACAGATAATCATATCATCTGCAACTAAAAACAATTTTGTTTATTTCCCAATCTGTAAATCTTTTAGTTCCTTGTGTTATTGCATGACCCAGTACTTTTAGTGTGATGTTGGAGTGATGAGAAGATACATTCTTGTTTTTTTCCTGATTATCTGGGAAAGCTTTGAGTTTCTCACCATTAAGGATGACTTGCAGTTTCCTGTAGATAATCTTCATCAAGTTGTGATGTTCCCCTCTATTTCTACTTTACTGAGAATTTCTATGATGAATGGATGCTGTATTTTTTGAAATGCTTTTTCTACATTTGTTGAGGTGATCATGTGATATTTTGTTTTTTCTTTTTAGTGTTTTCATGTTATAAATTACATAATTTGATGTTCATGTGTTCAACTACCCTTGCCTACCTGGGATAAATACCACTTGGTTGTGGTACATAATTGTCTTTAGACTTTGTTGGATTAGGTTTCCAATATTTTATTGAGCATATTTGCATGTATGTTCATGAGAGATAACAGTTTGTATCTATTCTCATAATATCTTTGTCTGATTTTGGTGCTGAGGTTATGCTGTCCTCATATGATGAGTTGGGAAGTACTTCATCATCTGTTCTCTGCAATCGGTTGTAGGAAGTTGGTATATTTTTTTCCTTAAATGTTGGCTTGAATTCCCCCGTGAACACTTCTGGGCCAGGTGCTTTCTGTTTTGAACTTTACTTCTTTACTCAATTTTCATAATAGACACAGGCCTATTCACATTGTATATTTTTGTGTGTATAAGTTTTGGTAAACTGTCTTTTAAGGAATTGGTCCATTTCATATAGGTTGTCAAATGTGTGTACAGAGTTCTTCATAGTATTTATTTGTTTAATGTCCACAGGATCTGTAAGGATGTCCTCTCTTTCATTTCTGATATTAGTAATTTCTGTCTTGTGTTCATTATCTTTTTAGTTAGCCTGGCTATAGGCTTATCAATTTTATTGATCTTTTTAAAGAATCAGCTTTTTAGATGTTTATCTTTTCTTGAGATTTTTTTAAAAATTTTATTTCTGTTCCAGATTTTATTTCTTTTCTTTGCTTCCTTTCAATTTAATTAGCTCTCTTGCCCCCCCACCCCCCGTTTCCAAAGGTGGAAACCTAGATTATTGATTTTAGATGTGTAGTTTTTTTTTAAATGTATGCATTCAGTGCCATAAATTTTTTTGAGAGCACTGTTATTTCTGTATTCTACAAATTTTGGTAAGTGTCATTTTCACTTTTTTTTTCTGGTGGCTGACCAGTACAGGAATTGAAATCCTTGACCTTGGTATTACAAGGCTGTGCTCTAAACAAGTGAGCTAACTGGTCAGCTCCATTTTCACTTTCATTTACTTAAAAATATATTTTAAAGTATTTTTAATTTTTCTTCAGTTTTTTTTTTAACCCATGTATTAGAGTGTGGGTTAAAAAAAGCTCAAGAAAAATTAAAAATATTTAAAAAAATTTTGTAAGTAAATGAAAGTGAAAATGGAGCTGACTGGAGTGTGTTGTTTAATCCCTCTCTCTTTGGGGATCTTGAGTTATTGTTTTGTAACTGATTTCTAGTTAAATTCTTTTGTGGTCTGCAAGCACTTATTGTATGCTTTCTATTATTTTAATTTTGCTAAAGTGTGTCATGTGGCTCTGAATATGGTCTTGGTGATATTTTTTATGGGAGTTTGAGAAGAATGTCTATTCTGTTGTTGGAAGTAGTAGTCTTTAAATATCCATTATATCCAGGTCATGTTATTGAGTTTAACTATGTCTTTTATAGTTTTCTGTCTGCTGTATTGGTTCATTTTTGTTAAAGGGTGTTGAAATCTCCAGTTTTGATGGTGGATTCTTCTATTTCTCCTTGAAGTTCTATTAGGTTTGGTGTCACATAGTTTGATGATCTGTTGTAAGGCACATATACATTAAGAATTGTTCTCTGGGAGAACGGACTTCTATATTATAATGTAATGCCACATTTTCTTCTCTATTTTATGCTGAAAGTGTTTCTGCACATTCTGTACTTTTTTTTTTTTTTTTTACTTCCAGCTTTTAGGTTCATTCACTCTGATGTCTTCAGATAACATGGAAATTTTGAAACTTTTCAAATCTTTATTGTCACCTTAACTTTCTCTCTTAAATGCTAGAATCATATATCCAATTGCCACTTGGACATTTCCATAGATATTTCAAGTGTTATGTATTCAAGTCTGTTTCACTTTTGCCCATTATATTTTTCTCCCATTTTTCAAACTTTATGATGCCAGGACCTAACTAGCTGTGATTATGTAGATAACCTGAGAGTAAAACTCTTGTTTTTAATTTCTGCACAGCAAAGTACTGCCACATTCTGTTTCTGCTTTTTATTTCCCTTTTTGTTTTTTATATTGTTATGTCTCTATTCTGTGTGTTTATTTCTCTATGGTGTAATGTAGGTGGTCTTCTCTCACCCTGTTTTCTTCCCTTTTGACTCTTCCTAAAAGCCTCTTCCATTCTCCTTGTAGTGGATGAGTATAAAAATGCAAATAAAGTTATGTACTTACAGGATGATGTTATTTACTACCTGTGGTTTAGAAAGTTGCATTGTACACCCTGGTGTGGACATAAGCAATCCTTTGGCACATAGGAAGGAAATTTTGGAATGCCTTTTTAAATGTACTTTTAATTCATAAGTAATTTAAAAATAACCATGAGTACATAAAATGTTTTCGTGTTTGAAATACATCACATGTTTAAGTATGGAATCACTCTATAATCAGTTGCTCAATATTGTGTTTTATCATTCCCTCAGACATGGTGCTGTGTGTAGTTCCATTAATGTGGGTTGTGTTCTTTGTGTTGTGACTGGTCTTTTGCTGTTGCCTCATATTCCTGAGACCATGCAGTTCACATGGAAGAGTTTAACTTCCTTGACATTTCAGTGAAGTGCAAACTGAATGCAAAATAAAACTATATTTCCTATTTCTTTCTTATCCCAGTCTATATCAAACTTGTGTTTAAATTTGTTCATCTGACCCAGTATTTCAGGTATGAAATTATACTTGTGTCTTCATGCCTGTTTATACTCTCCTTGGAAAAGAAAAATTTTATTCACACTTTTATCACTAGCAACAAAGATATTTCTTAAGGCATAAACTAAGTTTTGTAATATCATTATTAGTAATTAATCTTATTACAGTGCTAGGGTATTTGTCCTTTGATTTTTCTTCCTCCCATTCTATGGAGTACAGAAAAGTAGCATCTTATATAAGACGTATATGACACATACACACACAGGTGTGAATTCCCAGATTTCTGTTTTGTTACCCAGGGATGTTGACGTGAGTTGAGAACTATGTGTCATTACAGAAGTTGGTGTCATTTGAGGATGTGGCTGTGGACTTCACTTGGGAGGAGTGGCAGGACCTGAATGATGCTCAGAGGACTTTGTACAGGGATGTGATGCTGGAGACCTACAACAACGTGGTGTCACTGAGTGAGTAAAACTCCCCAGTGACTTTCAGAAGAAACAGTTTCTTTTTTGTTCATATATAAGAACCATTTATAGGATTTCACGCTATTTTGGTAAGATTACATTACTCAATGTGCTCTCTTTATCATGAGGTTCAAATTGGCTTCTTTATTGCACAACATCTGAAGCTAAGCTCTTGTCATTCTTCCAAAGGTCAGACTTAGCAGTTCTACAAAGTCCTATATTACTTCCCTGCTATTTTGGTAAGATTACATTACTCAATGTGCTCTCTTTATCATGAGGTTCAAATTGGCTTCTTTATTGCACAACATCTGAAGCTGAGCTCTTGTCATTCTTCCAAAGGTCAGACTTAGCAGTTCTACAAAGTCCTATATTACTTCCCATTAACAGAACATTGCATTAACAAAGCTGAGGTGATTTCAAGTTAGAACAAGGAGCAGAGCCATGGACAGTAGAAGAATGCCCAAACCAGATCCTGCAAGGTTAGTCAGCACATACTGGGCAGAAACCAAGAAAAGTAAAACCCGTTAGATGTTGGCAGTGTTCAGCTTTTTCTAGCAATGATTCCCCAAGTCCCAAACCTGAGGATGGCTCATGTGCAAGCTCATATTACATAATCTCCAAGGTGGGGTGTCCCATGTACATCCCAATATTTTATTTTGCTGAATCCATTTTATATGTACCCAAAATCTAATCCCTACATTTCTCTGCTTTGACTTTTTTTTTCCTATTTGCTTTCTTAACATTTTCAGTGTGCTTGTGTCCTCAGTTCTCCTGTGCATTTTTTGTTCATACTGCATCTGTTTTCTGTTACTTATAACAGAATACCTGCAACTGGGTAATTCATAAAGAAAAAAACCTTTTTCTTACAAGTCTGTTCTGGAGGTTTAGCATTCCAAGTTCAAGGGGTTGCATCTGGTGAGGGGCTTTGTTCTGGTGGGAACTCTTCACAGAATCCCAAAGTAGTGCAGAGTATCACATAGCAAGTTGGTAAGAAAATAGGAAAAGAGGTACCACAGTGAGCCTTGTACCACCACATCAAAAATCATGGAGCTGAGGAGAACCCTGCTTTGGAGAATGGAAAGGGGTGGTCCTTGACTTTGAAGGAAAACTAGGAGATTCTGGGTGCCAGTCCAAGTGAACTAAGGGTTTCATGTTGAGGGGATAAGATTGTTGTTTGGGAAAGTTCAAAGTCAGCATTTTTTTGTTTTTTTGGAAATCATTTTAAAAAATGAGAAATGTACAGGAGACTCTATTTTTGTGAGAATAGAAGACTACCAAGACTTCAGTGCACAAAACAAAAGCTTTCACAAGAAATGAATTATGAACTGGTAGTCCGTGTACTAGACATTGGGAATAGAATACAAGTTGATTTGCGAAGGAGTTGAAAGAATATTTTTCAAAGATTTTGGGAACAGCCTTGGATACAAAACAAAATATTTTGGAACAGAAGTGGACGTCTACAGTGGAGAACTGAAGTTCCTGTAGTGTAGTGATTTTTTAGAAGCAGAGGAAGTCAGGTTAAATGAAAAACTTGGAGGAAGCTATCTTTAGGAAGGACAAAAATGATATTTTATTATTTGAAAGCTTCCACATTTGTATAGCCATTACATAAATGCAAAATCCTTATCCTAAGCCATATTGCTGCATATGTGATAAAAAGTTGGCTCACTTCTGTACCTGAAAGTAGCTGATGAAGGAAAACCTAGCCATCTTCATAGTGAAATAATGAGAAAACAGCAGCAGGAGACAGCCACTGGTATAAAAATAAAAGAGAGAAAATGGTGTAAAGAAATGGAAGGTGCTTAGTTGAAAACTACAAGAAGGCAGAAGGTAAAAATTCTTAGCAAATATTTACTAATAAGTTAAAATTTGAAAATGAACAAAGAAGGAAAGAAAAACATGATATAACATTAGAAAATACATTAGTACAATATTACTTTCTCAGTAAGAAAAAATTCCATAAACTCATGAAATCAATATCCATTATTGACTTTTTAAAAAATCTTTTGTTGCTAGGATTGGTAACCACTTCTGTACCTTTACTTGAGCAATCAATGATGTATGCTTATGTGTGGCTCATGGTTATTTTTTTCTCATTTCAGATGTCCAGTTAGATGATGACATAGTGGAGAGGAACCAAGAAAGTCATGGTAGAGGCTTGCAGCAAATTGTAATTACCAACAGCAACACATCAGCTGATGATAGAGTTGTGTTAGGAAAATCATTTTTTTTAAATTCATATCATGTTTTAAATCAGATTATAAATAATGGAAACTATTCAGGGAAGGGACATGAGGAGTTTTACAGATGTCCGAATGCACTTCTTCCTAGAGAGCCTGATGAGATGCCTGCTGGAGAGAAACCTGATGACCATCATGTAACTGGAAAATTGCCCAGACATCATGAGCATCTTAGCCAGCATCCCAATATTCAAACTGGGAAGCAGCCTTTAGAATGCAGTGGAAAAGGGAAATCCTCCAGCACAGAGCCAATAATATTTACACATAGAAATATTCATACGTATGAGACCACCTATAAGTATAATGAATATGAGGAAAACTGTGGTAAGTCAGCTGTCATTGCCCAAGAAATAAATGAGGTAGAAAGGAAAAATTTTCATTGTGATGTATGTGAGAGAATGATCTATAAAAAATGTAAACTCAGTAAACATCAGATTATGCACACAGGAGAGAAACACTGTAAATATACTGAATATGAGAAGTCTTTTATTAAGACATACTTTACCTCACATCAGAGAACACCTACACAGGAGAAACTTTGTGGTTGTAATGAACATGAGAAAATTTTTTGTCAGAAGTCACACCTTATAATGCATCGGAGAATTCACAAAGAAGAAAAGCACTATGTATGTATGAACTGTGGAAAAAGTTTTTGTGAGAGTTCATGCCTCAGCCATCCTGAGAGGATTCACACAGGTGAGATACCATATGGATGTAACGAATGTACCAAATTTTTCTACTACGAGTCTGCCCTCACTGTATGTCAGGGAATTCACACAAGTGAGAAACCATGTAAAGTATATAAAAAAACTTCCTACAGTAATAAATGTGGTAAAACATTTCACCAAAAATCACACAACAGCAGCCATCAGAGAATTCACACAGGTGAGAAACCATGTGAATGTAAAGACTGTGGAAAAGCTTTTAACCAAAAGTCAAACCTCAGCATTCATCAGGGAGCTCACACAGGTGAGAAACCGTATGAATGCAAAGACTGTGGAAAAGCTTTTATCCAAAAGTCAGACATGAGCACTCATCAGAGAATTCACACAGGTGAGAAACCATATAAATGTAAAGACTGTGGAAAAGCTTTTAATCGAAAGTCAAAACTCAGCAGGCATAAGAGGATTCATACAGGTGAAAAACCATATGAATGTAAAGACTGTGGAAAAACTTTTAACCAAAAGTCAAACCTCAGCATTCATCAGAGAGCTCACACAGGTGAGAAACCATATGAATGTAAAGACTGTGGAAAAGGTTTTACCCAAAAGTCAGACATGAGCATTCATCAGAGAATTCACACAGGTGAGAAACCATATGAATGTAAAGACTGTGGAAAAGGTTTTACTCAAAAGTCAGACATGAGCATTCATCAGAGAATTCACACAGGTGAGAAACCATATGAATGTAAAGACTGTGGAAAAGGTTTTACTCAAAAGTCAGACATGAGCATTCATCAGAGAATTCACACAGGTGAGAAACCATATGAATGTAAAGATTGTGGAAAAGCTTTTAACCGAAAGTCAAAACTTGTCATTCATCAGAGAACTCACATAGATGAGAAACCATATGAATGTAAAGAATGTGGAAAAATGTTTAACCAAAAGTCATACCTCAGCATTCATCAGAGAGCTCACACAGGTGAGAAACCATATGAATGTAAGGAATGTGGAAAAACTTTTAACCAAAAGTCAGTCCTCAGCAGACATGAGAGAATTCACACAGGTGAGAAACCATATGAATGTAAAGACTGTGGAAAAGCTTTTAACCGAAAGTCAAACCTCAGCATTCATCAGAGAGCTCACACACATGAAAAACCATATGAATGTAAAGACTGTGGGAAAGCTTTTAGCAAAAAGTCATACTTCAGCATTCATCAGAGAGCTCACACAGGTGAGAAACCATATGAATGTAAAGACTGGAAAAGATTTTACCCAAAAGTCAGACATCAGCAGGCATGAGAATCCACACAGGTGAGAATCCACACAGGTGAGAAACCATATGAATGTAAAGAATGTGGAAAGCTTTTAACCAAAAGGTAGACCTCACAAGGCATGAGAGGACTCACACAGGTGAGAAACCATGTGAATGTAAGGAATGTGGGAAAACAGTTTACTGGATCTCACCATAATAGACATGAACAAATTCACACATGAGAAAATCCCAATTAATGTAATGACTGTGGGAGAAATTTTTGCCATAAATCACACCTCACGTTTCATCAGAGTACTTACACCAAGAAGAAGCCCTATAAATGCACAACTGTCCCTTGGTATTGGAGGTTGGTTCCCGGAGCCCCTGTTGATGAAAACACTTGCAAATGATCAAGCACTTTCTATAATAGTGTACTGTTTCAATATTACCTATGAACTTTTTTCTGTGTCCTTAACATCTTGAGTAGAATCCTTATATAACTGAATACATAAGGAATTCCTTGCAAATAGTTGTTATACTGTGTTGTTTTTTTTACTTGTATTATAGCTTTATAAGTGTTTGGTTGAATCAGTAGATGTGCAACCCTCAGATATAGAAGGGGGTCAATAACTGAAAATATCTTTTTTCAGCAGTTATAGGGCTGGCTGTAGTTAGCATATTGTTGGTTAGAGCATGGTGCTGATAACACCATGAGTCCCTGTACTGGCCAGCCACTGGGAATAAAAAAAAAAAGAAAGTAAAGTAAAGTAAAAAGAACTCACACTGCAGCAGACATGAGGTAATTTATATGGGTGGGGGAGAATTCTGCATGGATTAGATTGGGTATGTATTTTCTAAAAATACTTTTTTTCTCTGTACACATGCCTACAATCTCAGCATTTAATTATTGTGTGTGGAACCATGTAGTTTTGTGTTCAGGGGAGTACGGATACAGGTGATAAAGATACTCCCAGGCCAGGTAATTAAAAAAGATGTTCATGCAGTTGTCCCTGATTTCTCATTCTCTGGTATTGAAGGGAAGATGACTCCTAGGGTGCAGTCAGGGGCCATAGGTGGGAGAAAGTCACCATAATTTAAGACAGACTGAATTGAAGAAACCGTAGTTCTTTCCAAGTCTATCCCCAAGTCCTCTATTCATACGTTAAGAAATGCTTACTATGGTTTGCCATTTCATATGTGATCTCTTTGTGTTAAAAGTACCCCACTGTGCTGACTTTATGAACTTTCTGAGAGAATTACCAGTTCTTGAATATGAGAATATTCACACAGAAGAGAAACCCGTATTGTCACCTTTTACTCCCAACTCTGCTTATGGGAAAATTCAGTTATGGGGAGAAACAATGCAATACATACAGAACACCTTACCAGGCAGGGACATCTCATTGAATAGTGACAATAAGTTTATCTTCATCGACATTGTTAATGTATCAAATCTTTCAAAATAACTTTCATTTTTATATATAAGGTAATTTGAAATGAAAACTGTCAATTTATGTACTGTGAATTCAAATTTTCAAATAGAATTGATAAATGTAGGATCAAAACTGCTTTAAAAGTTTTGACTATTTAATAACAGTTAAATATGAGTGGTGATATTGCCTGCCAGGGGACATTTGGCTATCTCTGAAGACATTTTTGTTGTCATAACTGGAAGTTAAAAGGTCTAGTGGAAAGAAGCCAGAGATGCTGCTATACAGCCCCAAGTATGCTGCACTTATGCATATAAGTATTATTTGCTAAATTTTATCTTGACAGAAGCACTCATCAGCACAACTACAGATAGGAAATACTTACACACAAGATAATAGTGTGACTTACATCAGAATTTTTTTATTAGCCTATTCATTTTTACAAATCATACTTATTCTTTATGCCCTTTATCCAATCTCTTCCCTTCCCCTCTCCCCTCTAATCACCATAGATTTGTTCTCTCCATCTGATAGGTTAACTGATCTGTTCGTTTGTTGTTTAGATCATCTGTCCAGTACTGAGACAGATATGATCAAGTCCTCCCCTATTATCATAAATCAGATGCTGCTTTTACTCTGGAGGGTGCTTTGTGTAGAGAGTGGGTTTGTTTTGTTTTGTCTACCCTGGTGCCCCTCCTTGTGTCAATGCAGTTGAGTCTGGTGTGCCAGGTGCATAGTGGCTGTGACTGCTTCTATAGAACCTAGCTGCTTTTGCAGTAGCCATGGCAATTGTGGCGGCTATGTGGGCTACCTGCATGAAAAATGGTGTTTTTGGTATGCTCTGTACCTGGTTGAAGCTGGGTTCAGCTTCCCCTGACTCCATGCCTTAGTACCCAGGTGTGGCCCAGGGTGGTTGTGGTGGCTTTCCTAATTCTGACTGGGTTCAGCTTTCCCCAGCTCCATGCCTCCAAACCCTGGCTGGGCCCAGGCTGTTGTGGCTGCTTGCCTAGTTATGGCTGTGTTCAGCTTCCCCTGGCTCCATACCTCATGTTAACATGTGGTGCAGTTGGCAAGGAGAATGTGGAGGGGAAATAGGGTGGGAAGAGAATGAGGTGGAGCATGATCAAAGCCCATGGCCTCCCTCATTCCTTCAGGGGAGGCCAGTGGGCTTCTCACAGTGGCTGGGTTGTCACTGGGCTGGATCCAGATGTTGAGGGTGTGGCTCAAGCCCTTGGACCCCAACTGCCCCAGTTCAGGAGCCTGGGGTGCTTCCTACAGCATTTCACTGGTTGCCACTGAGCTGGTTTCAATGTCCAGGTGACATGGCTGAGGCCCTTGGCTCCCCATTGCCCCAGCTTGGGAGACCAGAGCACTTCCTGTGGTGGCATGATGGTCATCACTGGGCTGGTTGCAGATATTAGGGGGTGTGGCCAAGGCCCTCAGCCCTCCAACCATCCCAGCTTGAGATCCCAGGGCATTACCAGCAGTTTGGTGGTCATCACTGGGCTTATGGATGCCAGGGGGTGGTGGCTGAGACTCTTGGTCCCCCACAGCCCCATGTCAGGAGCCTAGGGTGCTTCCTGCATGGCTTGGTTGGATGCAGATGTTGGGGGTGTGTGGCTGAGGCCCTTGGCCCCTCAGTGCCCTGGCTCAGGGGCCCAGGATGCTTCTTGTGGAGCCCCAGTGGTCACCGCTGAGCTGGTTGTGGATGTAGAGTGGGCATGGCTAAGGCCCTCGGCCCTCCCACCTCCCTGGCTTGGGAGCCCAGAGGCCTCCAGTCCTAGATTTTATAGGTGTTCTTTGGTGGTGTTAGACCCTTACTAATTAAGATCAAACTTTGATCTGTGGATATATTGTTTTTTCTTTCACTTCTATGTTGGATTATTTGCTGTACCCACCACTTAAACTCTGCTCTGGAATTAATTTGTTGTCCTCTGCTTACTTCTAAAATGGACAAACTTCCTATGGGCACTAGCACTTGAGCCCTGTGGTTGAGCTAAATTGCTGCTTTGCTGCTGAATCCCCGGGGAAGGCTTTCTGTGCAGCTCAGGTTTTAATGGTTCACCTTGTATGTACTTCCTGGTCTCATGAGGTCTGGTACACCTGGGTTGTGTGGAAACTCTGGTCTGGGCCTGAGTCTTTTCAGCAAACTGCAACCCCAGCAATTCTATATTCCTGACCAGTCTACACTGAGTGATCCTGTGCTGATTGGAGGGCAGATCAGCTGTCTATGCTGTGCACCAATGTTCTCCTGGTGGGCCCATCTCCCCAACTGCCCACACTCCAAACACTTTCCATAGGACAGACCATGTACCAGTCCCTTGTCATGACTCACTGGCTTCTCAGTGGTTACTTTTTTCTGTTGCCTGTAGCTCCTCATTCCTCTGTGGGTCCACGGAAACCCTGTCAGTGGTCTTGCTGGCCTGGGGGGCACTAAGTCCTTCTCCCCTGCCACTTTCAAGCAACTTCATACAATGGGCACAGCTGTGGCATTTCACATCTCTTGCTCCGTGTGTTCACCAGCTCCAGACTTAAAGTGGCTGGGGCTGAAAATGGTGGAAGCGAACCTTTCTCTTATTGTGGCTTCTCCTGCCTTCATTAACTCCATTGGTCTCTCCTACTCTACTGAGCTCTAGCAGCCCCAGCTTGGCTGTCATTGCTTTTTAATGGTTGTAAATTGGTTTATTTGTCAGACAGAGTGACGCTGGGGACCATCTATTTTGCCATCTTGACCAGAAGGCTTACCTCAGAATTTTTGACATTAAACGCCACTTCTTTATATTTTGTTAAATTTATTGTCTAAAGCACTGTGCTTCTTACTTTATTCCTACACTTCTATTGTAGGTAAATTTGTATGACCATTATTACAAAACTCTCTCTTAAGTAAATGTAATTTTTTCTAATATTTGAAGCTAACACAAAGCCAATCAGTGGGTTGAATAGAAATACTTCCATGAGAATGCACAGATCAGGCACAAAGGTGTTAAGAGATTAAATCTGCAAGTACTTAAGCTGCTATAAACAGTATTTATCATATTCTAATTAGTGAGAAGTAGTGTCTGGAAGGAAGATGTGTCCTTTATTCCTATTCCTCATATTTTTAAATGGGACCACATAATAGATATGACTGTGTGTCCCACATGCTTTGTACTTCAGGACTATCTTGTGTTTACATCTGCAGTGATGGAGTGCTATGTTTGTATCTTGCCACTAAGAGAGGAAACAGAGTAAATACTAGTTCGACTTGTGTATTGCCTTGTGCGTGGTTCTTCTTGCACACAGGTCTGCAGACCTAGCAATGGACCAAGAGCCTGTTTTCACTGAAGGAGCCTCCTGGAGTCTGCAGTGGCCACTTGTCTGTCCTCAGAGCCCTAGTGAGGGGAGGAAACCTAGGCCCCTAGGCAGGGTAAAATTGAGGAAGACAGAATGGGGTCCAGAAAAGAACCAGAGTTGTGGCTGAAAGCAGGTGTTGCAGGCCCTGTTGGGCAGAGAGGTCACTTCCACTTGCCACCCTTCTGTCCCCAAATCTCTAGTACCAGTGGGCAGAAAGTACAGCACCATTATTTCTTTATCATTATCCACTCTGTATTTTCTTTTTTCTGTTCTTTAGGGGTTTAATTTTTCTATCTTTTTCCTGTTTTTTAGTTGGAAGGTTAGCTTTTTGATTTCACATCTTTTCAAAGTATAGATATTTATGGCTATAAATTTTATTCTAATCCCTTTATAAGTTTTGGTATGTCATGTTTTTGTTTTCAGTCTCAAAATGTTTCTAAATTTTTTTGTGTGGTTTTATGGCTTACTGGCTGGAGTTTGTTGTTTAATTTCCACATAATTGTGAACTTCTGAAACATCCTTCAGTTTATCATTTTCAGTGCAAATCTATTGTAGTCAGAGGACGTACTTTCTGTGATTTCAATCCTCACATTTATTGAGGCTATTTTATGGCCTAGCAAATGGTGTTTTCTGTGATCCTTCCATGTGCCCTTGAACAGAATGTTTTCTGTTGTGGTGTGTCATACATATACATATCTGTAAGGTCAAGTTGCTTTTAATGTTGTACAGGACTCCTGTACCATTGTCAGTGCTTTGCCTAGTTATT